ATATGTTAATTTTTTTTGCCGAGAGTGACGCTCTTTTATGACAAAAAGAAACTATTTAAAAGTTAGACAGATTCAAATAGCAAAGAAAAGAGAAAGACAAAAATTTTAGTTAATTTATTTTAATTTGGCTGATCATACAACGCTGTTTCGAGTGTTGTCAAGTACTTATCATCAGTGTTTATAGTTTGTTTAGAGTTTATGTCAATTATTATTATTTTGGGCTGCGAAATAATAATAATTGTTTGAATATATTAAGTTAATTAATTAACTCTGACTGTATAATTGACTATTATTATAGCCTCTGACTATTAATATGTTAATAATAATAGTAATGATACTCATATGTATTTGAGCTTTTAATTTCAATGTTACCTAATTAACACAGTAATAATTATATTTAGAGCACAAATAAATTCTAATAATAATTAAGTTACATTTTCTTAAGTATTTTAATTACAGATATTTCCTAACAAAAATAATGAAAACTTTCATTTTAGTTCCAAATTTTTTTGTTAAAAAAATTTATTGATGTAAAGCGAAATATTTTGAAATAAACAAAATCATAAACACCAAAGTAGTAAAAAGTAAATAAAAATATTAATAAACTTTGTCATGCACTTAAGTTTTTTATTCTACTAAACATAAATAGCCCCACACCACACCCCGTGTATCCTGCTAAGGCTTTATATCGTATGTTGTCAACCAATTTTATGATCACATTTATTTGCATGGAAGAGGAATATTGGCATGGCTTCACATCTTATAGATGGGATATGGTAAGCCATTGTACATTCCTACACAGAACACAGAACACAAACGCACAAATAAAGAAGCGTCAGTTGTTGTCATATATGTTCGGTAACGGATACAATAAACCGAAGATATATTTTAATGTCTTGTATTTTAACAACATGACGTGCTACAAAACAGAGACAACCGAAAGCGAGAATTCGCACATGCCAACAGGAGAACACACCAATAGACGCACACACCTAACGCATATATATCACTAACACCAACACTTACACACATGCATAAACACATCCTTGCGATCCTATGCGATGTCATTATAAGGACGAAAACAACCGGAAGCGCAAGCAAATCGCTAAGCGAACGCTTACCCACATATTCGTACGGAGTATGCGGGCAGCAGCGCATATGAGGTTGGCAGCAGCGCATATGGCGAGGATATACGTATTGTTAGTCCTTTTAAGTGTATTATTACCAACTGTTGCCAATTTGTTTTAACTTCTTATGTGCGGCTTCAAGAGCTCACTTGCATTTTTATCTCACTATATTTTATTGTATTTTTTTTTTTTTGCTTTACTTTTTCCTATTTATTTATTTTTATTTATTATTATTTTTATTATTTTATGTACGGTTGGTTACTTATTTCTGCGTGGGAGCAATTTATTTTCTTATATAAATTTTTTCGCTTCCTCTAGTTTGCCATCGCATTACTAAGTTAATGTGTTTATTTTTATTGCAGGTATGTACATACTATTTTACTATTTTATTCGAGGAAAGTTTAACAGTTCATAAATTTCGAAATTAAGATAAGTTTTTGATAAAATTTATTAAGTGCTTTGTGGGTTAGTGAAGTTGAAAGAAGTTGAAGGTTATTACATAAAATTAGGACGCTCTTATTCAAACAAATAATATAGCATGTTATTGCCTAAATTAGCCCTATATTACAAATCCTATTACATTTGTAATAGGACTACATATATAAAAAAGGTTTACATACATATACAAAATAAATAAGATACACAATTGTCAAAAAAATGTTGGCAAAATGAGAATTAAAACCAAATATTTATTATTTTACTGTTAGTTATACAGAATAAATTAATAAATTAAATTGGGTTCTTTGATTCAACTGTTTTATGAAAGTATATAATATAAAATTAATTCTGAGATAAATAATGCTTAACAATAGGTCTCTTCTTTTGTAAGCATTTCACAAAAGAACACCGCTTATTTTAAAAATAATATTTGAAACAACAACACTGCTGGTTTATTTAATACAACTTCTTTGACTTGAAATAATAAGCAGCTCAAGACTTAAAATTCGCCTATTATAAACGGATTTTAGAAGTAAGTACAAAATTTATATAGCAAAGTCGTTTTATCTATTTTAGCCAATTTTTTATACACAAAATAGAGAAAACATAACTGTATATTGTTAACTCAAATTTAGTGGTACCGATAACAAAAATCATTAAAAAATCCAGCTGAAACCTGTAATCACAATAATATGATAAGTATATTCTGAACTTAAATTAGGTTAAGGAAGATATAATCAAATTACTGCTACCCATAATTGCTGATTATCCACCATTTTGCTGTCACATTTCTCACAAGAAAATTAAAGAAATAAAAACTTGGTTTATGTCGTAACTTCCCTAAAAACGTACTAAATAAAAATTAA